ATCCAGAAAAGATCCAGTGGTTCGCAAAATTTTAGAAAACATTTTTTTTTTGAAATTTTCAAAGTAAAATAACTCCGTTATTTTGAACTTATTTAAAAAACAATAAAGAAAAAATATGTTTCTTTTATCGAGATCCACCACCCCTTAAAATGCTTGCACTTATTTTTGGGACACCCTGTATATATAAGAGCGACATTAAAATTCGTCAATAACATTAACTTCTTAACGTTCTTTCAAAGAGCTTATTTTCTAGTTCATTATAACATCTTTAGTAATGGTTTTTGTTACATCTAATAACTTTAGATATGCCATTAGTATTAATAATTGAAATCTTCTAACAGAATTCTGTTTGCTGGGATTATTTGATTTTTGTATTGTATTGGATATTTAACAGTTCAAATAATCTTTAGAGGATAAGTACAGGGACGCGCCGTCCATATGGGCAAGGTCGTGCGGCGCACGAGGGCGCCAAAGCCCTAAAGGCGCCTGCGGTCACCTGACTATAAAAAATAATAAAAGCATTTTTTGGAACTTATCAACAAATTAACATAAAATGTAAGTAATACTTTTATCTATGAACGCCAGTGGTGAAAATATATTATCCACCAATGCCGAGCGCCGCGCCGCTGGTCATTGGAAATTTTGGCTTAGTATTAAGGTGCGTATCGACTGCCCGCGGCTACCTCGCAAGCCATGTTCGCCCGCGGCAAACCAATTATCTGCCTCGCGAGCCAAATTTCTGGCATTCATTTTGTAGTGTGCGGCGGCCTCGCAAGGCAACCGATCCAGCCTTTCGCGCAGTTGTTCGTAAACTGCCACCATGGACATCCGTGCAAGAGCAGCAGCTGCTTTCATTGTAATTCATCACATCATTAAAAAAACGAAACGAAAGGTGCGTATTAGTGGATGAAGAAAATGTATAGTAATAGGATGCAGTATGGTATTAGTAGACTTATGGACGATATGCGATATGAAGCCATTGATGAAACAATAAAAAAATTCACAAGGATGTCAACCAGAGATTTTGCGCAGTTAAAAATATTAATTGAGCCATACGTGAAGAAAATGGACACCATATGGACACTAACTTCCGAGAGGTGATTCCAGTTAGTGAAAGATTAGCTTTGAGGTTTCTAGCCACAGGAGACTCATATACTAGCTTGCAATACCTTTTTCGAGTGTCAAAACAATCAATTTCAAGAATCATTCCAGAAGTTTGCGACGCATTATGCGAAGCTCTGAAGTATTATATCATTCCATGCATTTTGCCTCAGCAACTTGTTATGGTAGTGTGGATATTTGCTGTTCCAGAGTAATTCTCTAGCACCATATAATTGAATTAGAAGTCGGCACTTTTCATTATCCATGGTTAAAACTGCGAAAACACTGCACGCGCCACTGTCTGTTGTGGAATATACAAATTTTGTTTTGTCTCAGTATCCATTAAGCGCGGCTGCCGCGCGAGCCGATGTTCGAGGGTTTGCCGTGGGTGGTCGATACACACCTTTATAATATTGGAGAAAGGCGCCTACCCTTATTTCGCACGACGGCGCCGAAAATACTTGGCGCGTCCCTGGATAAGTAGAGGATAATAGTTCAAATATCTTTTTTCGGGGTTTCAATAATATTGTTTGATTTTAACCTTTACACCTTTAAAATATTTTATTCTGCAAAATGCCAGTAAATATTGATAATAATATGGCCTTGACTGTTGCTATATTATTGCTATATTACCACAAATAATCTTCAATTTATTTACCTAAATAAGGACGTAAAGATTCTTTTGGATATCTAACTCAAAACACTATATCTACAATCAATATTTTACTTTACGTTCAATAATTTTATTAAGATAGTTCTATGAGTTATGGTGGCTTTGAATCAGTACAATTATTAATTGAGGTCTATAGAATCTTATCTAAGGTTTTTTTTTTATATTCTATTTATTTATTTGTTGTTGTAATCAACAATCAAATTAAAATAAAGATGTCAACACAATTTGGGCCCTATAATACCATTTTCATATGATATGAATCAATTAAGATCTATATCAATTTGTTGGTTCACTTGACAAACATGTTTCGGTTTTCAACAGCTGTTTCCAATAGTGAGCAACAAGTGTATTGCTTTGATGTTTACCAGCAAGAAGGAAAACATGATTCCGAACATTTATTTTTTTTATTAACAATTTGGGAAAATTAAAACCTAAAGTGTTGACTACACAAAACTTAGCAAATTTTCTGTGGTAGAGACTTAAGCTTTATCTATATCATTATTAAATGGTAAATATATCTCTGCCTGTAAGTTAAAATAATATAATAAGGAGCTCGTGCAAATAAATTTGCTTTATTGGCCACCGTATTGTCCCGATTTAAATCACGCAGAAAATCAATGTGCATTAAATTGGAGCGTCGTCGTCGCGAACAAAGGTGCAGTGGCTATGTAGAATCTGTTATGGCTCCTCTATTTAAAGGCTCGTTAGAGATTAAGGTCAAGGCTGTGCAGAATGCTTTCTAAAGGGCGATACGACGTCGTCGATATGGGAAAGGAAATAGGTCTTTCGTTGTGCCGTGACGTAAAAGAAATAGAGAAGGTAGAGTGTGGATTGGGCATAAAATTGGTCTAAAAATGTGTTAGGTCATTGATATTTTAGTTGTTATACCGTATGATCGAAAAAAAGGCAAACTGGGGAATGACAATCGATGATAATTTTGGCGAGGAAAGTCTCTAGACGTCATTAACTAAAAATTGGCAGAAAACTTGTTAAAAATTAACACTAATTTATAGAAAATAAACAAAATATATTTTCTTTTTTCTCCATAAATTAGTGTTATTTTTTTAACAAGTTTTCTGTCAATTTTTAATAATATATATTTTGTTTATAATTTTAAGTGTTGTACATATTTGTCTATATTCTTTTGGTTGTGTATATTTATACATATTACTTTTATTGTACCATGTGTGTGTGCCCTACGGTAAATAAATAAAAAATTTATAGAAAGTTTAGAAAAGGATAGAAGATAGATCATTTTTACTAAATATAAAAATAAATTACAACCTTCAAAAATCCAACTGGCCGTTAGCACCCCTAATAATAAAGAGTAGGGGCCAAGTAAAAAATTACGTCTATGGCTCGACCTCGCCGAAATTATCATCATGATCGTCATTCCTCTGGGACGTCGTTTTTTTCTTGGATCGCATTGTAGAATTTTTAGAGAATTTTCTATCTTTTAAAATATATGCCGGATGTACTATCATAACACAAACTAAACTAACACCGGATACTAATCATTACACAAACCGCCATTTGAGTCCGTTATATGTATATTGAATACATTTGAAATTTGTGTTATATTACAAAAAAAATCTTTTTAGAAAATATATTGGAAAATTTTTACTTTTTCTTTACTAAAAATAAATTTTGAAAAATAATACCTTCTGGTTTATAACAGTTTAGGCAAAAAACTGTAATAGAAAAATACTAATAGAAATATAATTACTTAGGCACTTTATTTCATTTTATCACCTGTATTATAGGGAGCAATAAAAGGGTTTTAATAAAGACTATAGCCATTAACCTTTTTGTAACTAAAAGTATAGTAGATACGTGATGATATACTATAAAGCTGGTCATAAAATTACATTTGCAATATAATATTGCTTTTTATGGGTGTCTGTTGCTAATTTCTTCTTATAATTAAAACAGGGAGCAATCAATAATGATTTAAATTGTTGACTATTCTGATTTTGCTCTTTTAGTTGGCAACAAGTTTAAATATTTTCATTATTACATTATAAAAAACAAAAACAAAGTTTTACCATATTTTTATAAATTTAAATAGCCCATATATGTATACCGGGTGCGTCTCAAAAGTGGCTGACCCCAAAGTGGCTAACTTTTTTAATTTTTCAGATAAAAAAACTAGATTTGGTATGTTAGTATATGACATAAATTTGGATTGATTGACGTATTCAATTGTTTTTGGTCACTTCCTGTTTAACTGGAAATGACTGCAACTTTTGATTTTTAAATGATACCCTCGGTATATTTCTACTTTATTCGATAGAAAATGAGAGTCAACTCTGGATATTTTCGTTTAAAAAAATCGTATTTGTGCCATGTTTATGTTAAAAACACTAATTTTTAATCAAGGAGCGTTGGAAAAATAGTTTTGATTGTCTAATGTTTTTCGTTTTTCGTAAAATATGCCCAAATCGCATTTTTAATCATATCTCAAATTTTTCAAATGAAACAAGGTGGGCTCATTAGCATATTTGGAAAAAACATTTTTTACGAATAATTTGGTACCAAACACTTGATATTTCGAGTAGGATATGTTAGAATTTCAAATAAACCATATGCGAAAATGTCAAAAGTTGACATGTGATATGTCATTCTTTTCGGAGTGTCATTTTCTATCAAATAAAGTAAAAAATACCGAGCGTGTCATTTAAAACATAACTTGTAGTTATTTCCGGTGAAACAGGAAGTGACCGAAAACAATTGAATAGGTACGTCAATCAACCCTAATTTTTGTCATATAGTATCATATCAAATCTCGTTTTTTTATCTGAAAAAATAAAATGTTATAGGAGTGAACCACTTTTCAGAGGCACCCGGTATAGTCAATTATACTACCTACACATTTTTTATAATTTTTTTCGTAATTATTCTGACATAATTAAGTTACCATAGTTATAAACAAAACTACGCTTGAATACCAGATAAAACAAAACGTTTTTACTGCACCATAAATTACCTGCTTAACTTGCGCAAGAAAAACTAGCCATAATAAAAACAATAAACTCGGAATGTCCAGATTGAAGGCTGAAAATAAATTAGCAGTGGGTGTTTTATTACCCAGAAAACAAAATCTCAAAATCAGGTTTTTATATCTTCGTAGTAAAGCCTTTCAGGCTTTGGTATTGTTTTTTATGTTTAGTTAAATATGAAATTGTGTTCGGTGAGTGCGTTAATACATTTATTTTTTAATTTTTAGATAAAGGAATATGGGCGAAAATAAATTTCTGTTGAGGAGATGTTGCTGTTGTGGTTCTTTGAGGACAGGGACTCTTGTAGCAGGAATAGGGGCTATTGTAAGTATGAATATAATTCCCCCCATTTTTTTTTCATTATATTTTACAATTTTGGAAAATAAAATTTAAATAATTTTTTGTAATTTTTGAAACAGCACATGTTAGTATTTTAACTTTTTTTAACTAATTTGATATTAATGTTACTGAAGTAGGTCATTATCTCAGAAAAATATAGCAAAATATAATATATTTAGCTCTTTTACCTAAAGGGCGAAACTGAATAGTATATTTGTTACAGTGTCATATACAGGGTCCCTTATATGTATGGGAACGGTCTATTATTAGACAAAATATTAGAGGTACCGCAAAAAGTAAAATATAAATTTATAGGGTTTTTAAATATCTATTAGCGGGTAATAAATTTAAGGATACAGGGTCGGTCATAAAACCGTGGCACATCAAAGTTGCATTTTTTAAATGGAATTTCTTATTGCCATACATATTTCGGTTCTTCCTTCAATTCTAAGCAAAAATCGAGTACACACAATGTTCCTCAAACCAACCGTTTCCCAGTTATTAACTTTTGAAAATATCACTTAAACAATTTGATTTAATTAATTTTGATAGGTTCAGTTTGATTTAAGGATGCCATTTTGCGGAAACTGTGATACTTAATAATATTTGACATTAGTTTTCAAGTTAGCATTTATAGATGTCTAAAATGAGATTATATCAAGTCTGGAAATTACAAAATTTTCGTTTAACATTTCAAAATCAAAATTTGATAATTCGGAAATTGTTGAATTTACGTACCTACATAGCTACGTACCTTACGTAGCTACCTACCTAGCGGGTATATTCTGTGATACTGCCAATGAGGCTGGCAAGTATTTTTTGTTATGTTTTCCCATTCTTCTTCAAGGACCTAGAGAATATTCGTAATTTTAGCCATCTTTAACTAGATCAATGACTTTTGTACAATCTTCGACACTAAAACCATATTCAAACTCTTCGATTAATCCTGTATAATAAGTAAGTTTATAATAAACTGAGTTTACGAATTAAAATTGATATATTTATACAGGGTGGTCCGAACAGTATTCCGGAAACTTTGGCAGCATATTCTTCAGATAAAAATAAATAAAAAAGTTCTTATAAATGTATGTCCTAAAATGCTTAGTTTCGGAGATATAGGGTGAAGAAGTTTCATTTTCATTTCGATTTTTTCCAAATAATTTCTGAAGTAACGTCAATATTCAGATGAAAATTGGTGTCTGGGAGTTTTATGACATGGCAAATTTGATTTTGAAGTCAATATGGGTCCTACTTGTAGGGAGCGCTACCTGCATACTTTTTAACTGTTTTGAAGAGTAATACATTTTCGTCCGTATCTGTATAAAAATATTGGGTGAAAAGATATACATTTCCGTGACTTTCTACGTAAAAAATGTATCTTGGTGAAAATCGCTACGATCAACCGTTCTCAAAATATGGAAATAATCAATACATGTGATTATTGACAAAAAATAAACACGTTGAGTAGATAGTTATTTGACTGAAATAATAAATTCAGGAAATTTTCATTTTTTCAAAATTAATCATAAATTTTTCTTCGAAGAAATGATGACCAAACAGTTTCTGTTGAACTTTTGGCACAAAAACATTTCAAATTTATGATTTCAATCTGATAATTATTTAGTCAATATGTTTAATTTGTCAATGATGACAGGTATTGATATTTTCGATTCCAAATATCTCAAGAACCATTACTCGTAGCGATTTTTACCAAGAGATCTTTTTTGCGTAAAAAACGTCGTAAATGTATATTTTTTTACAAAGTAATTTTATACAGGTACGAACGAAAAGTTACTCTTCAAACCAGTTAAAAATATGCAGGTGGCGCCCTCTACATGTAGGCGTCATATTGACATCAAAATCAAATTTTTCTTGCCAAAAAACTCCCAATTTTCATCCTAATATTGGCGTTACTTCAGAAATGATTTGGAAAAAATTGAAATAAAAATGAAACTTCTACACCCTGTATCTCCGAAACAAAGTATTTTAGGACATACATATATATACGAAGTTCTTTTACTTACTTTTATATGCAGAATATGCTGCCAAAGTTTCCGGAATACAGTTCGGACCACCCTGTATACAGTTTCTTAATAAAATTAAGGACATAGAACTAAAAATAAAAATATAACCCTTTAACTTTGGCGAACATTTTTTCCGTTGCTTGTTTTTTGCATCTGAGTGTAGATTATCTCTCTTATTCTTATTATCAAAATGGAAATTAAACCGTAAGCAACAATTGAGAAATAAATAAATAAGGATAGCCTGGAATATCTAAAAACTTTTTTACTTTCTGTGTGTTTTTTTATAAAACTTACCCAATTGAAATTAAAAATGAAATATAAATCATTAGTGTTTTCTGCAATTTCTTTTGAAACACCATGTATAACCATTAAATTTAATTAATTTACAAATTGATGTGTTGATTTTGTTTCAGATCTTGTCAATATTCACCATAATAATCATTGTCCTAAATATGCTAGGAATCATCAATGTCCAACTTAGAATGATAGTTCTAGATTCATTTCTTTCAGAATTTGTCAGTAAGTAAAAAAATACACACAACCAAACTTATATGGAATCACTCTTTATTTCTGACTAAATTTCTTGCAAGGATAAAAAATGCTATATAACTTTAAGATAAGGGTTTTTGTTGTAAATAAACATGATAATAAAGAATAAAGGACTGCCGTGATTTATTTTCTTTTGAATTTTGTATTCAGTAGTAAAATCAGGATTTTCCGGTAATTTTCATTTGATTTAAAAAAAGTAAAAAATGCCTTATGTTGGGTTAACAGATGTATAGAGGGGAAAAATTATTGCCCTCACCGAACAAGGAATGCTCTAAAGAGACGTAGAGATAGTGGGCGTTACCCAGAGTGTTGTATCGAAAACATATGCAAGGTACTTGGAATTAGCAACACACAAGGATAGGCCCAGACAAAGTCGTCAAAGAGTCACAACTGAACAACAAGACCGCCTTGTGTGCCAAATTGCTAGAATAAATCCCAATGTTTCTCATCCAGAGCGACAAAGACAACTTCTGGCAGCTAGAGGTGTGAACGTTTCAGTTGAAACAATAAGAAAAATGCTTCGTGCTCGAGGGTTTTACAGTAGGAGAGAGTTACGGATCTCACAGTTATCTCGGTAAAATAAAACTGACCGGCTAAATTGATGCCTTTTTTTGAACATAAAAACTAGACAACTGAGAATTGACAAAATGTTCTGTTTTCCGATGAGACCAGAATTGGCCTAAGATCAGATAACCATCGAATTCGGGTTCTCAGAGCTCCAGGAAGACGAGCGAGACTTCAGGCTGCTAAATATGTACCAAGATGTAAAGGAGGAACTGTAATGTTCTGGGGAGGTATTATACTGGGAGCAAAAACTCCATTGTTACCACTTCAACAAACTTTAACAGGTCGGAGATATATTGATTTGGTGCAAGAACCAATCGTTAGTCTTTGGAGAGCTGCAATTGGGGATAATTTTAACCTTTTGTACGATTGTGCACCTCCCCATACCAGCCGATTGACTAGAAAATTGAAATCAAAGTGAAATCGAAATTGAAAACTTGAAATCGAAGGTGTCATAGTTTTGGACTGGCCTGCATGTTCACCAGATCTAAACCCTATCGAACATTTGTGGGACTAGCTCAAAAGAAGGGTTAGAGCTCGTCGAAACAACCCAGGAAATCTTGCACAGCTTATTGATGCAGCATTAGCAGAATGGGAAAACATACCACAAGACAACATTGATAATTTAATAAGAAGCATGCCAGCGCAGATAGAAGCTTGTATAAGGGAGGCAACAAGAAATATTACAATTATCAATTTTCTTTTTGTTTTTGCTTTTTGGCCATTAAAAATTTAAATTTTAATTTCGTTTTAGAAAACAAAAAAATACCATTTTGTTTATTTTGGGAACTGATTATTTGTTTTTATTGCTATATGGATTATTAAGTAAGGACTGAGTTTTATTCATAAACACAAAATTTTCATACGTCTAAAAAATTATGAAAAATAATAGTTGATTCCATATAAGTTTGGTTGTGTGTATATTTCTAGGTAGGTTCTAAATGAAAATTAATGCTCTTTATATTTTTTCAGTTCAGATAATACTAATAGTTAACCTTTGCGTGACCATAATCCTTTCAATACTTTTGATAGTGGGCACAATCAAGGTGTGTATTTTCCTGTACAAAAATAAATCGATACCTGATTTATATCTTTTTCGTAATGTATTTTTTAGAGGAACTTTTACCTGATGATGCCATGGGTTCTTCTGGGAGGAATGCTGATTATTGGTCTTTTGGTCTCTGTTATTATTACAGCCATCAACTTCTACACGAATGACGATAACCTTAATGGAACGTTATGGTTAATTTTAGGACTTATAGCTTTCTGTAAGTATAACATAAAACTAAATTTCCAAAGAGATAATTATAATAAAAAAAAGAAAGGATGTACCATACGATCGAAAAAAACGGCGTCAACGACGATCGATGAAAATTTTGGCGAGGTGGATACCTGGACGTAATTTACTTCGCCCGTACTCTTCTTTGACGGTTGTATCTTACTTTTATATTGAGTAATAATGATTTTTTACTCAATATAAAATATTTACTCAAAAAAAACATAAATTATTATATCTAGTATTGAAAAAATTATTAATCAATATGCAATTTCTACAAAATAGGCTCAAATCTTCGTTATTTTAAATTAAAATCTGTCTATATGTTGAAATATACAGGGTCGCTGATATGTATGGAAACGGTCGATTATTAGGTAAAATATACGATGTACTGCAAAAAGTTAAATATAAAAGTTATAGGGTTTTTAAATGTCTATTGGCGAGAAATAAACTGAAGTACACAGGGTTGGTAATAAAATCGTGGCACATCAAAGTTTCATTTTTTTATAGGGAACACCCTGTATATTATTGTATATTTCAATTCTTTCTTCAATTTTAAGCAAGCATTGAGATACAAACAATGTACCTCAAACCAATCGTTTCCGAGTTTTTGACTTGAAAATATCACTTACACTCTATCAGCATTAACATTTTCATTCATTTAGTTTCATTTAACAATGCCATTCTGCAGAAACTGTGATACTGAATAATATTTGACATTAGTTGTCAAGTTAGCATTTATAGATGTATAAAACGAGATTAAATCGAACCTGGAAATTATAAAATTTTCTTTTAACATTTCAAACTCAAAACTTCATAACCCGGAAATGGTTGATTTTGAAGATTATTGCTTAAAATTGAAGAAAGAATTCAAATATCCAATAATATACAGGGGGTTGCATTTAAAAAAAAATAAATATTGATGAGTCACAACTTTATGACCGACCTTGTATACTTAAAGTCACTACTACTACTAGCTAATAGGCATTTAAAAATCCTATAACTTTTTTATTTAACTTTTTGCGGTACCTTGTATATTTTACCTAATAATCGACCGTTTCCATACATACCAGCGATTCTGTAGAGGAGACCGAGGAAATGTTAATGTAAATTTGGGTAACAGAATTCTTTAATTCTGGTAACAGAAAGTCGACTTAAACGTCACAAGTCATTTTGTTTCAACACCCCTCATACCGAGGTAAGCTGAAACAGGAGTCGAGATGAGTTGAAACAGACAATTTTTGGATAGAAATAAGGATTGTAACGTAGAAACAATCATATAATTTAAAGGTATTTATTGAAATATATTATTCTGATAAGCAATGAATGTTCGCCGCCAGTGCAAGCTTCATGAGGCCATCTCTTGTCATTGGATCCATTTTTCTTTGGCTTTAGTATTTGAATAGGTTTGAAAACAACAAATACAATAGTATTCCTCTTCCTCTTCATCTTCACTGTCTTTTTTTCCTTTTTTTTTCTTTTTTGTAGAATGTGTAAGAGGGGGGGTTAATCACTGCGACCTTCAGATATATTGTGCCATTGTGCCCCCCTTCCTTGAGTCATCACACAATCTATAACCCATCATATTCCTGTTGTAGAAGGGGCAGGGTATTTCCCAACCTCCTCTGACAACAGTTCTTCTTCCGAGGGTACACACCCTTCCACGGTTGGAGTTTGGCTCTCCGTGTCGCCCTTCACAGTCGAGGAGCTTGCCTCCGGCTGAGGAACCCGTGAGTTGGAGGCTGGAGGATCTGTCTCCATTTTCTCTACCTCTTTAACTTTGTCTCTCCTTAGACCTGATACCGGTGTTGTCCCGTATATATAATATAGTCTGTCCAACGAGAAGATCCTTGACAGTGATAGATGTGTCTGTCATTTTAATTTCAAAGTAGTTTATTTTATTTTACAAAGAAATAAGTTGGTACAACTGGAACGCATAGCAGGAAATATTTAAAATTTGATTGACAAGATGACAAGTGATTACTTCAAAATATTGTGAAAAAAACTGTATAAAACTGAAAAAATGTTATCGAGTTATTTTATTTAATAAAAACGGTATGTGTTAATACAAAACAAACAAGAACAAGACACTATATACCAAAAAAATATAAAAAAGAACTATTATTTACTTTTAAGCTTTATGAAACTACCCGCATTTATGATTATATTTATCAATATAACTTATGTACAAATACAAATTTGTAATATTCCACAGGAATAAATAAAACAACTTAGGTAAATAAAACAAATTATTTTATTAATAATAACACCTACCAAATTTTATACCTTAAAGGTTGATTAATTAACTTTAATCTTAATTTTTTTAAACCAGTACCTTTTGACATTATTTTTCTGCAGTACTAAAATCCATTATTTACCTATCGTGTGATGTCGATATTTTACAGCTACTCCAGTTTTTAGTATGTGTTTAGTTTGATCCTTCTACCATATACGAGATGGGCACTTATCTACGACGAAATGGTATACAAACTTTATCGATGGCAACTTCATAGGTGTATAAGACTTTCTGCCTGGGCAGCGAATATTAACCATAAACTGTGCTCTGGGTCTACAGTTAATTTTCACTCGATTTTTCCTCCACTTGACTTCAAAAGACACAAAACACACGTAATAATACGAATCAAAATGCATTATCTTCCAAAACGCAGGATATTTAACAAAAGTTGACACAAAATTATAACCTATAATGTGGCAAGACTTTGACAAGCGTCAAAAATGACAAAAATCTAAAGGCGAGTTCATACGCATCGGCGTCCGTTTGTCGTTCATCGTTCCGTCAAACCAATAAAATTGAAATACGATCTGTCATTTTTTAAATAAACCAATAAAACTGGTTAAAAACAACAAGACACGACGCATGACGGATTTATATTTAAACCCATCCATAGATATCTTAAAAATTATTAGAAACTTTTTGTAGTAAAATAAATAGATTGGTATGGGACGTCATCTGCTTTTCTTCTGTCATCGTCTGTCGAAATCTTACCTGAGAAAAAAAAACAGAGTATAGAGGATATGTCCCTCTTTCTCTATTGCCACCTTGGATTTGAGGTCAATTCCTATTGTGAGGACCTGACCATGACCCTCCTCCCTCGAGTTGATGACTCGCCAACTCGATGTCCTTACATTGAAGTTCTGCCCCTGAATAAGGCTCAGCAGGTTGGTGGTGTCTTTCCCCTTGCTCCTTGGCAGAAAACCCGTGATGGCCGCCCTTTTAGGGATGTTTTCTCCATTCACTGCAACCAGTTCCGGCCCTTGCCAATTTTTAAGCTTAGATGCAATACCAACCAATTTGCCGATTCTTGAGATACACAATCTATGAGGATCATGCCCACCCGAAAGTGTATCCCCGCAAAACGCAGCTGACCCACATTTTGTAGATCGTTGTGTTGCGATCCGATCGCCACTACTTCGTCCAGTATAGCCATTTTCACTTGTCAAGCAAAGCGGCAAAGCTGGTGATACGTTCCTGCTTGCTTCCCGGTGTTGAACGGCTTTCCATCCTGGCTTTTTTCTCTCCCTGCCGGAGAAGAGATGAGAGGTTCTCGCTCCCTCTCTTGCCCTTTGATGGAGATGAGTCAGGTTGTTTTTGGTTTGTTCACTCACCCCTTTTCGGAGATTCTTCTTATTTACTTAAGTTACTAAATTTAAAGCAGGCGTCCATTTTTCTCAAAGAGACGTGGTTTAAATTAAAAAAGAAGTAGAAAAAAGACTCAAAGTCTCGGTCTCAACGTTTATATAATGTTAAACAGTGACACGTGTGTCGCTCATACGAGCATCATCAGACAAATACAATTAAAGTTAATCCACACACGTTCACATTTTACATATTAACACAACACTGTTAAGTTACTAAGTATCTGTCTGTAATTGGTCTTTTTAGTTTTAGTTTCTAGTTTGGATATTTTAAGTTTTTTTGGAGCTTCGAAATTAAGGCTTTTAACTTTTTTCTTTGCCAATTTAGCTGACTCAATTGTAGCCAATTAATTTTTTACAGTTAAGATTCATCAGTTAAGATTGCTGTTTTCACCTTTTGTCGGTTCGTTTGATGCCTTTTGGTTCTGCCTTTTTTTGGTGGAGCCTTTGGCAAGGATCGGAGAATTTCGGGCGAGAAAGTTATTGTCACCATAGTTGAATTATCACTTGATGTGGATGCTACAGACACTATAGTAGATGTAAGATCTGCGAACGAAACGACCGATTTAGTGATTGAGGGCAGGTTTGAAGTATCAGGTATTATCTTAGAGGTATTATCAGGGTTTTCGGCAATATTGGACACGTCCTCAATTTCAAAGCAGATTTGATTCGTATTACCAGTAGTAGTCAGAGTTTTTTACAGTAATAGTCACAGAGTACATTCTCCGAACATCAAAAAAACAGTATTTTCTGGATATCCAGCTGATGGAGAAGTTCCAGTTTTAGTAGATTCAAATTGTCGATGTGAAATAAATAATCATTAACTTGATTTATTTTGAAAAAAATAATTTTTCACATGAGCAAAAGCAAATTTGAAGCTTCTTCTCATTTACGAAGTAGGACGGCAATCTCCCAACTTCGTCCATTGAAAGAATATTGGGAGGGGGTTGGCACCACCCCCTCAACCGCCCCTATATTTCCGCCTCTGGGAAAATGTCTGTAACTAGAAGGTATTAACAATATAAAAATTAATTTTGTTACTACGAGTACAACCCTCGCTACAGTTAATAATGTTGTTTTTCGAATATCCGGGTTTCACATGCTGTGCAAATTCTCGTAAAGAGATAGAGTTCCTTTCTCGATTTTTTTTAAATGAAATTTTAATGGAACTTATGGGACTTATAGGCTAATGTCAGTATAGATCTCCAGATGAAATATTTTATTATATATCTACTTATCGACATTTTACTCTAGTTTTATTGATTACTGACTCTTTTATTGTCTATTGATTCACTTATTTTTACATAAATTTTCTATTTTTAGGTATATATACGTATATGTGGTTAGTGACATACAGCTTCTTCTACCAGATCTGGCAAGAGGCAAGACGAGGAGCTTACACCAAAGATCCATTCCGCAGAGGATGGTAAAATGGAATACCTTCCTTCATTATGCACCACAAGATAAAGTGTAAATGCGTTCTGTGGTTGTACGAAACTGAATGTTTATGTCAAAGGAATATTACAAATTCCATTTACAGTTATATCTATAACTTACTGATATTTGTGTATTGTGTGTATATTGACTTGCTCTCTACTCTATTGATATTTATATATTTTGCCATATTTATTGTGTAGTTATGTATAAAACATAAATGTAACCAGTCTGTAATGGTTTAAATGTTTTGTGACTCTGTAGTTATTATTTATTTTCTAGAACAAATTTGCCATTGTTGTACTAAACTATTAAATAATTTTATTTTAGTATATATTTAGTCTTTATTTTCTTATAAATAAATAATAAAAAGAAACTACATGTTTATATGAAAATTGGTGTAAATAAAATAATACAAAACTACTGTTAATATAAAAGTATTAGTTTATTAAAAAATATAATAAGGTAGTTAGTTTAGTAGCAGTCAAGATCATTTGAAGGTTGGTAATATGGATACTTAGTACCCACTTGTGGATCACAGATCGTTCCTTTTATGGATTCATCCGCATATGCTGACAATACACGGAAGTTGATCATTTCCGTGTTCAAACCTTCTATAAGGTAGTACGGCAATCTGTTGGTGATTATCCACATACTTTGCTTCTTTTCTTGATCTAGTCTGTTGAGAATAATTTAATTTTAGTAAATTAGTAATATTGAAATAAATATAAAACTGATTAAGACTCTGATTTCGGAATTGGATTCTTCTTTCTACAATGTCATGCTTTATACGGTGAGCATCGGTGGTTCCATGCATATACTTATGATGTGTCAGCAGACACTTCGCTTATTTTCTCACCATTTTAAATAATGTTACGCTTATTCTTAGTACCAAAACTGAAATAAAAAGTTAAGCAACTAATTACTCAGAATTAAATAAATTTGGATAGGCTAGATTATTTAGAAACTTCGTTAGGTATCTTTTGTATTGCTTTTAATAAAACTTATCGATTTGAAATTAAAAAGTGAATTGTAAATCACTTTATTAGTTTTTGGTATTTGTTTTGAAATACCCTATACAGGGTATTTCAAAACAAATGCCAAATAATTGATTTACTGATCCGTGTAAGTAGGGAATGTTTAGGAGGTGGTTTAATCACCGCGACCTTATAGATCTTTATTATGTGTACCCCTTTCTTGAGTTATAACGAGTTATAACTTATCATACAGTCTCAGGGCTTTGACAAAAGCCAGTATCTGAGACGGCTTCACAGAGGCCAGATCTCCATCTCTGACATCAATCGTACCAAAATTTCTGGCACTAACGGTTGTCGTCTCAGCACACTCAGTTATGAGGTGTTCTGGTATTGCTCATTTTTCCCGCAGAATCTGCATTGTTGCTTTGCATTGCGCCGTTGTTTCTCAACTCCAATCTATTGAGGTGTTCATTGAGGAGACAGTGTCCTGTTAGAAACTGCGTGACAATCCGAAGATTTTTTGCGGGCGTAAGTTGTCAAAAACTTTTTCGAGTGTCTCCCATCGTCGAGGATTCCCATTCCAGGTTACGGATGGAGTGTTCCAGGTTCTTGGTTTCCGCTTGGAAGGCAGAACTGTTCTGGTCCAGTTAGTGGAGTGTTCACTCCTTTTCTAGCTAGATCGTTTTTTTATTGCCTTCTATTCCTTGGTGAGCGGGCACCCAGAGTAGGAGGACTATATTTTCTTTTTCCTAATTTATTCAGCTTTTCTAGGTATTCTATGACCAACTTCGAATTGATGGTTACTGAATTGATCGCTTTTAGTGCTACGTGACTATCGGATAATACAGCTATTTACTCTTGACAGTTTCTATCTAAGGTTCCTATACGTGTAAGTAACTGATGAGTTATATTCGATTTCAAATTTTGTGTGTGTCAATTTATTCATCATAATAATTATTGTCAAAATGTGTAGAAATGATGTTCAACTTGATGACAATAATAATCCTCGATTAATTTCATTTATAATTCGTCGATAAACAAACAAAATATTTCTACATATATTTCTAAATAAAAATTAAGCTACGGACTTAAATACCAGTGAATGTGATTTGGGATCTGGCTTAATCAATGGTTCAAATTAAAACAGCCGAGTTCCTATTTCAGTTTATTTGATTTTTCCGGTGCTATAGAGTTAGCCAAACATTGCAGAGTATTATTATTATTCCTCCTATATACAAAGGGTTTTATTCCGGTACAAACACTTTAAAATTAACAATACTAGCTTAGAAAATAGTACTCGTTGGAAAATATGACCAAAATACGTCAGTATTCGCAACGTGACACGAAGATCACAGAAGCGATGAAAAAGCAGATGAAATGGCCAAAAAAGGGTCATCAGTGTTATAAGTCTAGAATCCTTCTGCCGTGTTGCAAAGTAATTACAAAAAAAAATCAGAAAACACCGAGTGGCCAACAAATCACCAGAATGGTTAAAAATATTTACCGTCTGAGGTACCCGTGAGGTGGAGGCTTGAGGTTCAGATCTGTCCCCATTTTCTCCATCTTTTTAACATGGTCTTGTCTTAGACCTGATACCGGTGCGCGGTGTTGTCTCGAATCTATAATAGAGCATATATCCCTCTTTGTCTATTGCCTCCTTGGATTTGAGGTCACTCCATATTGTGAGGACCTGACTATGGTCCTTCTCTAGCATTACTTCATCTGCACATGGTTTTGTCTGATAATTCCATGAGCTTTATATGCCTATTAAGTTTGTAATGTTCTTAGTAGACCTACTATAGGTCTGATTTTTATTTTCTGTTAGTGGATTATTTACGGCGGACTTAACATGTCATGGACTTAAACCATGTGCAGATGAAGTAATGCAAGAGGAGGATCATATTCAGGTCCTCACAATAGGAATTGGCCTCCAATCCAAGGAGGCAATAGAGAAAGAGGGATATATGGTCTATTATAGATTCGGGACAACACCGGTATCAGGTTTAAGGAGAGACCATGTTAAATAGACGGAGAAAATGGGGACAGATCCTCCAGCCTCCACCTCACGGATACCTCAGTCGGTGGGAAGTTCCTAGACTCTGAAGGGTGTATACCCTCGGAGGACGTAGATCTCTACTCCTGTTGTCAGAGGACCCACTCATTCTGCTCGCACTCATTCTACTTTCTTCTAGGCATTTGAAGCTGATGAGATTGATTTTTTCATTGAAACGGCAGAACACGTTCTGGCAATAGCTTAGTACATGTACGGTTCTTTATACTAGGCTTTTTGTAGTTGACAAATAGCTCTTTGGAAGGTTCAGTCTTTAAGTTATTTGATTTTTTAAAATGTAATAGAAATAAGACCACCATATATTTGTAAAGATTGTAGTGAAATAGACTTAACAAATAAGACACTTCATCAAACCTATATGTAGTGTTGTAAATGGAAATATTTCCGTTGGAAATATTTCCGTGGAAAAACGTTTGGAAATTTCCAAACGTGTCTCGGAAATATTGGGAATATTGGAAATATTTTTAAAAATACTTAAATCTTGTCATTAACGATTCAAACCCGATGTTTATTAATCTATCTTTCATATTTTGTAACCCTATAAACATTAAACTTACTATAGAACAGTTTTACAAACATATAATATGGTGAATATATCGAGTTTGAGGACTCACCAACTTATTTGCAACCTCGCATTTCTTCGGGGAAGTCCCGAGCTCGTAAGTCGTAGCGTAGTAAAAACTCGCTGGTCTTCAATTTTGACCAATTTAAAAAGTGTATACAGTACTAGGCTCAGTTTACAAGGAGTTGCAGTTAGTCAAGAAGCAACACAAATGATTGATAAAAATGTTAAGCAGTGGATATCAGATGACGAAGTATTTTGGCCCAAATTTCCAACGTAATTAACATTTTTGAACCTATTGGCAAATGGTTAAAAACTGTAGAAGGAGATTATAGCACTATTCATTTTGCTGTAAAAGCATTTTGTGATATTAGAAGGGTAATTCACAATAATCTTGCATTGTCCTCACTTGACGACAAAGAAAAATCCAAATTGTTGGAGTTTGTTGACGAAAGAGGAAAATTTGCTATTAAACCCATTCATTATGCTGCAGAATTACTAAATCCAAAATCACAAGGTTCTAAACTTGATGAAACCCAAATTCTTTCTGCCATAGAATGCATACTTAATATATAAAAAAATAAACTCAATATAAAGGAGCAAGAAATAATAGATGAAATAGCAGATTACCGTTGTAGAAGTGGCAAGTTATTTGGAAATTAACCAAACCAAACCCAGTCTCCTGGTGGAAAGGACTGTGTTCTTCATCTTCATTATCACAAGTAGCTTCACGAATGTTGATGATGCCAGCATCTTCGGCTGCCACGGAAGAAAAACAGGCTTACTAATGATAGAGCCGCTAAGCTACTCTATGTATCCCACAATGAAAACTTGCTGAAGAAAATAGGAAACGGCAATAGATCAATTTTTATTTCCGATACTATTGAAGATTTTGAGGAAGTAGACTGGTAAGGAGATGTTATTGAGTGTGATGCTGATGACAGCGATAAAGATATGCCTCTTGCTCGACTAGTGTGTCAAAAATATTTTTTTTTGTGCAAATTGAACCTTAATTTATTTTTTAATTTGAAGAATAACTCTTTATTTGTGTTTATGTATAAAAACGTTTTGTGTTTTGCGATGTTTTGTTATGAGTTTTATAAATAAATATTTCAGTTTTTCTTATTTTTTTAAATATTTCATATATTTCCAATATTTCCATATATTTCCAATGTTTCACGAAATATTTCCGGAAATATTTCCGAAAATATATTTCTGGAAACTTTACATCACTACCTATACATATGGGAAATTAGAATAACTTTCGTTGCACATAATAATACGACCACCAGCAAACTCCATGAGACGACGTATGGTGTCATTGATGACGTGCAACGAAAGTTGTTTTAATTTCCCTTTCCCCATCTATAAATATCTAGCTTGATAATAATCACCTAATGGTTCAAATGTCTAAAACGGCGATACAAAATTTGATAAAAACAAAAATCAAGTTCAAAATCAGAGTTTCAATCAAGGTCTTACTACGACGTATTATGTACTACTACTCTTAGGCATTAAAATTTTAAACTAACCTAATATCGTTAGGAAAAACTAACGTCTTGCTGCTTTTTGCTATAATGCCTAAGTTTTCTCTTCTATATGGTTTCCTGGAATCCCAGCAGCCAATGGAATCGCGTGTGACTAGAAGATGGTACATAATACCGTTGTCATCCATTACAGATGAGGAAATATGGCTGGATGGTCCTGTAAAAGTAATAAATAAAAATTTACTAGTGTTGAGCTGATTTGAAAAATAGTATTACAGTGTGTGGAAGTTAATTTTGAAAGGCTTTCATCAAAGTCACCTATTATATTTTAGCTTTACATGTGTTACAAGTGCAAATAATTAATTAATAATAAAAATTGATTACTTACCTCTACTTTGACCTAGGACTTGAAACACATCCTTATCATGATGAGTTTCGTTCCTTAAATACGAAGTCTTGACCAAAAATTCTCTATAACTAGACATAGGGTGGAAGTATAACAATCTGTCATCGTGATATTTATCCAGGGGACTCAAGGCTAATCCAAATAACCCATCCGTCCATTCAAATTCCAAATGATGTAACTTGTAATATGATGCCAAAGGGTCAGGGAAGAACAAGTGATCTGTCACTCTCCATGCATGATGGTCGAGTAAACGAAATGTCACTAAACCAAATCTAAAATCTTTATATTAGTCATCTAGTACGGCATTCAGTACAATAAAATTTGTATTATTTTATATAGTTTGACTTAATTTGAGATTCTTTGATTAATTTACGACACAAGTATAATAACGGTTATTTAAACCGTTATTTCAACGTTAACGGATAATTAAACGTTAACGTCTAACCATCTTGGTAGACTAAGAAGGACCCTACACGCAACGATATCTTCTTACGATAGCAACGATTACACGTTCAGATTTATTAAAGATTATTTCGTCAGTTTATAATCTAATACAGTTTCCACAAAATCTGTGGTCTGTGCAATTAAAAATATTCAGCATGTTCGCAAAGATCGCAGTTCTCATGTCGTCGATGAGATCTTTACTGAAACTGCCACTCTACGTTGAGATTTGTACTAAATCGAAGAACTGTACAGGGTGTCCCATTTTGGTTGAAATCATACGGTAGCTCCGTTATTAGTGAATATAGAAGGGTGCGGTTTGCACAAACCTGTCCCGCTTTTTTTGTCAAATGGAGGATGATTTTCGTAGCCCTCTTCGTTTCTAAGCTACAGGGTCTTTTTGATAATTTTGCAATTTGAGACACTCCCCGTATCTCCGTTATTGTGCGAGGTATCGAGACGGTGAAAACTGTTTATTGTAGAACTTTTTATGTAGAATACAGTGGCGTAGTATGTTATTCTATGAAGAGAATATTTTTGATGAAGAAGAAAGATATGAACAGAAAAGATATGAACTAAAGTTAGGTTTAAAATATTTTTTTATTTTTTTAAGTTTTTAAATAAAACACCCTGTATATTTATAAATTATATGATCTGGCTTGCCATAAGCTACTCAAAAATATATATCACTCTATATTTATTTTCACTATTTACTGCAATATTTAAAAGTTTTCATTAAAAGATCATTTTTGTTAGTAGGCCATGATTGAAAAGATACTAAAAAATTATATTATATATAATAAGTATACTGCTATCTGTCTCTTGTTTCATTTTAGGAGCTACTAAAATAAATACTTTATTATATAAGAGTTTCTTGCCTTGAACTGCTAATATAGAAATTAATTCCACGCTGTGTTCGTCATAATGTGGATCAACCTGCTCTCACTACCGGTTTCGGGGCCCTACCCCATCATCAGGTGAGCTTGGGTATTTCCACAAAACAACGAGCACAGCGCAGAATATATCAATCCGACTTATCGTAAAGTAGCGGTAAGATATTAAGTCCCGCATCGCGAGATAGCGGCCTGCGTGCAATTGTAGTACTTTCGTACCACCGAGGCACAACTATCGATAGTAAATAAAGGCTTTTTTCGGCTAGCCCAAAATATATAATGGAAAATAAATTTCTTCCAGTTTTTAGGTATATAATAAAATTATATAAGAGTTTCTTGCCTTGAACTGCTAATATAGAAATTAATTCCACGCTGTGTTCGTCATAATGTGGATCAACCTGCTCTCACTACCGGTAGGGCCCACCCCATCATCAGGTGATCTTGGGTATTTCCACAAAATGAAAAGGAACACAGCGTGGAATTAACTTCTATATTAGCAGTTCAAGGCAAGAAACTCTTATATAATTTTATTATATACCTAAAAACTGCAAGAAATTTATTTTCCATTATAAATACTTTATATATCAGGGAAACTTAACTCTCTACCGCTATTCGCAAATCTGGAAGCTATCTTATCGGAACTTTTAGATATTCCTTCAAAATTTACGTAAAATACACTTTCAGCATGATGGGGTTTCCCCTTACAACTTTGAGAATATTAGAATTTTGTTAAATAACTATTTCCCAAGTGTTTTTTACTTTTGAGAAGTTCATAGCAAGACGGATACATATGATTTATAAATATAGAGGGTGTTCCATTTGAAAAAACATAACTTTAGTTGATAATTTTTCCGTAGAAAAACAGACCACGCTACTGTATTCTACGTAAAAATTTCTACAAGAATCAATTTTTATCTTATCGATACCTTTCACAATAACGAAGATACGGGGGCTGTCCCAAATTGCAGTTTTCAATAACACCCTGTAGCTCAGAAACGAAGAGGGTTATGAAAATTTTGTTGACAGCATCTTCCGTTTGACAAAAAAGCGGGACAGGTTTGTGCAAACTCAAACCTTCTATCTTTACTTATAACGGAGATACCGTATGATTTCAATCAAAATAGGATATCCTGTACAGTTCAAATTTCTCAGATATCGTTACATGTAGGACCCTTTTAATTTTAACCAATTTTCACTGGATACCATATTTATTTTATAGTCGACTAGATATCATATTCGAAAAAAGCGATTCATACCTCCATACATCCGACATATAGGCATAAATATCGTCACAGTTATCATTTCTCATATCAAGTATAATATTAGAATAAAGACCGTCTTCTTTGATGAAACTATCTGGAAAAACATATTTGTCTAAAAGCTCGTCCGTTTCCAGATCAAATATGAGCAATTTTGGGGGACAGTGCTGTTTAGCTTCTTCCGTTGTGATTGATATTTTTCCTGAATCTAACACCCACAATCTTCCACAATTATCCGCCTGCATTCGAAACACTGAGGTGATTACATCACATGTTCCTGAAAGAGATAGTAGAAATTATAAAACGTTTAAACGCTCAAAACGCCCAGAAAAAGTTCATGGAAGCGGAACTAAAATTAAATCTATAATCACAGATAACATAATTATGTTATCTGTGCTATAATGTACTGACCCTGCAGGGTGATATATTAAGGAAATGGTTTTCAAAGGCTTTTACCTTTTCCAAAATAATCATCTTATTACAATTCATGAATTACAGTCAAGTATTGCTAAATAAGTTTGTGTTCCTAAGTTCCTGTAATCATATAACGTAAGCTCTAATTATTGAGTGATGAGCAAAAGTAAGATCACTACCAAGACTTCCATGGTCTCGGTCTTGGTCTAATAGTACACCATACCTAATAGTGGTCTTGCAGGATGCAGTCTTGGTCTTAGCTTTACTGCAAGACTCTTGCAAGTCTTGCACTTTTTTGGTAGATTTTTACTAAAGACAATTTCTACATGGAAAATGTTTAAAACATCTTTATTGGCTTATTATTTTTTTTAATAATTTGGCTTCTGTATCTCACAAATTATCAGCTAATTTGAAAATCTAAAAATACTATATCAGATAGCCCTAATAAAGTGGCTATTAGAATGTGCAATTAGTTTTTTGATTTTCCTAAAAGTAACGATAGGAAAAAATAAAATTGATTTTCAAAAAAATCCGTTTTTTCCAAAAAACTCAGCAATCCTTGAAATTTTTTGAAACTTTTTTGATGTCATCTTGGTGAACATCCCAAAGCGCAACTTTGTCTCAATTTAACCATGTTCGTAGCTATTACGATTTACCGAGATATCATTGTTCGTATCTCGAATTTGTAGCACCATGTATACATTGTGTATTATTTTAACAATTCAATGATCTGTTACTCTGTATGATTAGGATATTACAGTTCCAAGTGGTGTTATAAAATATAGTAATAATCTTCGGTAATAATACTAAAATGGTTTATACGTAAAAACTTCTTTACAAGTAATTTGTAAAAAATATATTTATGAATTTTTGTATATTACAACAAAAAAAAATATATTAAATATTGTAATCACAATAGGATAAAATATTAATAACATGGTTAGTTAAGCATGCGTTCACATAAGAGAAGAATTTTGAAAGTAATTTGGCAAAGTTTGGATAAAAAGTAGTGCGGCTTGATATTATTTGGTTTAATCTGGTTTTAATATGAAGCCATATATTAATATCTTGCTCTTCCTTATTTCGTTTTTTTATTTAGTTTTTATAGAAAGTAATGCTTTTTGATTATTGATGAATAAAAAGATACTCACAATGAATTATTATTATTAATTTACAAATACATTTTTATAAAAAAAATCTATTGTTTTATTTTAAAACGATGAAGGTTTAGAAAAAATATATTATTGATTAATTGAAATAACATAGAGTAATGACGACAGATCTATTAGTAAAATGGTTTAGCCAATAATATTTTTGCAGATATTTAATTGAATTTCAAAATTGTATTGTAATACGCATTGTCTTACGATTTGTGACAGTAAATAGTATGCTCAAGCTTTACTAAATCTCAAATTTTCAGAGATGAAGGAATGTAGGTAGACATTTCAGACCTTCTAATTTCGACATGACAGAAGTAAAAGAAGTAAAATAAAATGAGTTGATTTCAAAATTTAATGTTTTATTATAGTCTAGATTATTATTAGATACTTCTACGCTTATACACACACCGGAAAAGTCTAGGGATATTACAGTTTTATCGAGCCATTGTCAGTGATTTTATTATTTGCATTTCTGATATAATAAAATTAAAATAAACAAATAGTTTACAGGACGTAAATAAAAATGCGAAATTTACCCAATTTTTCAAATATACCTTGATTTTTATTGAACTCAAAAAAATACACACATTAATGGTAAACTGTGAATTAAAAATAAAAGATAAAACCATTTTTACTTAATAAAGGGTATGGCCTCCTCTACTGTTCATTACAGCCCTACATCGTTTCTCCATGCTCCTGATCAGGTTGTCGATCTCTTCTTGAGGTGCAGCCTGCCACGCTGCATTCACGGCCCGAACCAGATCCCTACGAGTTTCACGAGGCATACCCATTCTCAAAATTCTTCTTTGGACCGCGTTCCATACGTGCTCGATGGGGTTGAGGCCAGGAGATTGTGCCGGCCAGGGTAAGATGTTTAATTGATGAGCATTGATAAACTCACTTACCACTCTGGCTGTATGAGGCCGTGCATTGTCATGCATGAGAATGAAGTTTCTCCCAATATCATTGGCATATGGTAACACGACAGATGTTTCAAAAAATGCACAAACACTTCTGCAAATATCCCAAATTTAGAAATAACTAGTGTGACTACTTCGTTTCAATCGATGTGGTTGTTTATTCAAAACATTTATTTATAACTTTAATAAAATGATATCCCTAGATTTTTCCGGTGTGCGTATTATGTAAAATTATTAGAAAATATATTTAAACAAATATTATTTTATATTTTAGTTTAAAATAAGTAAATTGAGTATGAGTATTCAAATACGATATTAAGAAGGAAGCATACCGAATCGTCTTGTCGCTAGAGATGGGATTTCGATCGATAATTATCGACATATCGATAATTATCGACATATCGATAACTGAAATATATCGATAGGTGAATTGCAATACTTATCGATAGGTAAAATCCATTATCGCCCAACACTACCCGTTGCGACCATAGACTTAAAATAAAATATAGACTGAGCATCTCATTCATAAATAGCTGGAACATGCGGTCAGACACTCTCTTGTTATTGTTGTGTTATTGTTTTAGGTTATAACGAGTGCGACACGAGCGATAGATAGGTTGTCACTGTCGTAACGGTCGTTCCCTGACGACTCTGCCGAGAAACACAACACTGTCTTTCGTTTCTCAAGTACACCTGAACTCTCCGTATCATAGCCGGGTATTTTTTTTATTTTAATGAAGCTATAATTAAATTAAAAATATATCGTATTTAAACTTTTTTATATTTTATTAAGATTTAGGACAGGTTTTTTAAATAAAAGTTTAGGAAAAACAATTTAGAGTCCAAAAAGGATAAAAATAATAAAATACACGTTATAGAAGAAATTTTATAATCGAAATTAGGTAATTTTTGAAATTAATAATAAATTATTAATTTTAGTCAAACATTTACAACCCCTAATATTAATCAAAACAGGATCTATTCCACAGATATAATAGAATCGGCGACAGGGAGAGAGAAAAAAAATATGATTGTTGTAATTTTTTTCTGGTTAAGTGATGTCTTATTATGTAAATTAGAGTAAACATAAATCTGTTCCATTAAAGCAAGGAAGGTGATAGGAAGTGGATAAAATAAAAACTACATTTATTTAACTCGGTACTGTCTTTATTATACCGGGTGCGTCTCAAAAGTGGCTCATCCCCATAATTTTTTTATATTTTCAAATAAAAAAACAAGATTGAGTATGTTAGTATATGAAATAAATTAGGATTGATTGACGGCATTCAATTGTTTTTGGTCACTTCCTGTTTCATCGGAAATGACTATAACTTTTAATTTTTAAACGGCACCCTCGGTATATTTCTACTTTATTCGATAGAAAATGACACTCTGAATAGAATGACATATCATATGTCAACTTTTGACATTTTCGCCTATGGTTTAATTGTAACTGTAACATGCGGTTCATAACGACAATTTGACTCGAAATACCAAGTGTGTGGTATCAATATATTCATAAAAAAATGCTTTTTCCAAATATGCTAATGAGTCACCCTTGTTCCATTTGAAAATCCATGTATAATTAAAAATACGATTTGTACATCTTTTAACCGGCCTAGACAAGACACGAAACCTATTAGACGATCAAAACTATTTTTCCAAGGCTTCTTGATTAAAACTTAGTGGATTGAAAAAAACTGGATTGAAATTTAAAATAGGATATGTTTTTAAGCGACAATGTCAAAAGTTGACATATGATATGTCATTCTATTCAGAGTGTCATTTTTTATCGAATAAAGTAGCAATATACCGAGGGTGCCTTTAAAAATCAAAAGATGTAATCATTTCGGTGAAACAGGAAGAGACCAAAACAATTGAATACGTCAATAAATCCTAATTTATGTCATATACCTACTAACATACAAATCTGTTTTTTTATCTGAAAAAATAAAAAAAGTTATAGGGGTGAGCCACTTTTGAAACGACCCGGTATATTAAAAAATATTGTTTCATAATATAATATCATTTTAAAATTCTTGTATGTTATTTTAGATTCTGAAGATAATTTTAGAATAAACCGGAATATATTTTTAATAAAAACATTATTAATTATTAACAGGGTTATAATTATGATTTTGTTACAATGTAAGTAAGTAAATAATGTAATGCAAAAGAAAAAATTCAGATTTTACATTTTACTAAAATATTATCTAAATAAGCGCCTTTCTACAACAACGCCACTGACTGCCAATGGGTAAATTGAGAGTTGCCTACCGGTCAAAAGTCGTTTCAAGACTTAAATGGATTATTTAAGTCAAATTTCTTGCAAATTTGGCACTGGTGAACCATATTTTATAGTTTTTGAACAGAAAAAGTCAATAAAATAAACACTTAAGGACTACAAGCTAAGAAAATGCGTTAATACAGCCGGGGAGATAGCGGCAACAAAGCTTTACCGCACACGTGCGACACGTACTACAAGGTAATAAATGAATGAATAGGCTCCCTCGCCTCTAATCGGTGTTGTCATATTGTAAAGAACTTATCCTTATTAAACAGTATCCGACTTATAATTTAGTAGTATAAGGACTATTTAATACATCTATGGAATATTAAAACCTACTTTATTAAACTATAGTATTAATATCTCAATATATGTGTATAACAAGAAAAAAAAATATTGATAATATTAAAGACGTGACAACATAGGCTGGATGAGGAAGGCTCGGTCGACTGTACCCAGAAGTAAACATGTGTACAAAAAAGGTTGTTTGTCCGCGTTGAGATGTAAATAGTGTAGTCTATATTTTATTTTAAGTCTATGGTTGCGACCGTCGACCGGTCCAATTCAGTCATGATAGTTGAAGTCGACCGGTCGAAGTCGATTATTTGTGCGCCTTCCTTTATTATTCATTTATATTAAGTTTAAAAAAGAAAAATATAAAAACATAAGGTACAGTAGATGTAATTCAATAAAACAATTTATTTCATAAAAATTAGGAATGGGAATTGTCTATAGCACTGAAATACTGTTCCATAAAGATATCGAAAATTTATATGTTAAGAAAAAAAACGTTCTTCTTACTTCCGTCTGTCTGTCCGTCTGAAGACTCCATTCGGGTACCTCTATCCACGTGCCGAGTTTGGTTCCAATCGACCCATATTCCGGTGTTTAACCATAGTAAATTTTTGTTATTTTTAATATAAAATTCAATTGAAGTGATTAAAAAGTACTCCCTCAATACAAAAAGAAATGCAACGAAGTTACAATTAAGGAATAAATAATAAATCAAATTCAATACAAATTTCACTGGTTCGAAATGATACGTAGAAAATTGTGACGTCACCTATCAGCATTTTACTGAATAGTTGCAGAGGGCGCGAACCTCTGAAGAATAATATTATGGCGTGTCTAGTTATCTGCTACCGTATTTACATCATATACCTTAAAATCACGTTAGATTCTTCTATTTTTATTAAGATCGTTAAAAAATACGTTTTTATGTAGGATTATTCTTTATTACCCCAATATTAAATTTACTTTTATATTTTTTACTACTAGAAATTAAAACTTAAATTTTTATAATTAACAGGTTACTGCCATTTTTATCGAAACACTAAACACTACCAAAGCTGTTCGGATAATCGAGGGTTCGAGGGTAGATTTGTATTTTGTGGATTTTGCGTTTGGCGTTAAATATTTTGAGTTTTCAATTTTGTTTTATTGTGCCCTCTTTATTATTTTTGTAATGAAGGGTGTTAAAGTTTGTTTTGTGAAGGGCTGTCTAAATAACTCTGAAGGCTCTTCAGAAAACGTTTTTATAACTGTTTCTTTGGATGAAAGCCGTCGAAGAGCCTGGTTTGAAGCGGCAAGACAACAATAAGTCAGCAAGTACGAGATTTTGATGTGAAGATCATTTTAATGTAAGTTCCTTAAGTTTTATTTTACAATTAATTTTATATCTACTTTAAAATACATTTAGAAAAATGGTTTTTATTTACCTTTGTACCTGGTGGCAAACCGTGACACTATTGATAGGTGACGTCAGAGATTGCAAAAGTGTAAATTTCAAATTCTTAATATTGATTAATTTTTTTTTAAAAATGGGATGAAATTGAAGTAAAATAAAAAATACGGGTGTCATAAAATTGTATGAAGATTAATTAATTGTAATAAAAAAAAATAATTATTTATTTATTAATTATTTTATATTATTAATTATAAATAATATTTTCTTGCCTTTAGCTGTGTATTTTTTCTAATTTCGAAAAATCGAAAGTAGAGAAAAAATTAAAAAAAAAAATAAAAAGTAAAAAGAAAATTGTTTTGCTTGTCGTAAAGGGGGGAACCAAGCTCCACTCCCACAACCGGTTTCTGGGCCTACCCTTCATCAGGTGGGCTGTCCAGGGGCTGGTTCTCGAGTTAGAGAGCCCCATCCACATTCCGAGTTTCAACCCCCTAACTCACATAGGACCAGAGTTACGACGCTCTAAGATCGTTACCATTTTTGTGACACTTGGTGACCTTGGCGTGACGGTTCGCGTAACGCTAGCTCATGTGTCACGGCCTTAAATTTTTACTCTCATTGCGCGTAAAGAAGTTTCACTTGAAAAACATAGGTATTTACATTTCTTTTGGTTAAAATGTAATGTCCATATTGCGTTTAAAATAAAGAAACGCAAAATTCGCAATAATTAAAAGTATTTTATATGGCTTTTTTATATCATATTTTTTGACTGGAAGCCTAAAATTTCGATTAGATTTTGTAACGGTTGTAACAAAACTGGGTATAAAAACGATCGCCTCTTGATCTAGTCGCCCGTGAAAACGAACAATTAATTTTACTGGTTCAATTTCTATTTTGTCGAATATATAATTGCAATATAGATAATTTTGCAAACAGTCCAAAACGTTATTATTTTATCTATTTGCCGAACGCAATACAAACATTTTTTATTGTTTTCTTCTTTAATAAACTTGTGCAATATAAAGGGTAATTGTATCTTTTCTGATTTACTTGGAATATTTTGAAAATATCTTCGCTGTTAGTGAAGAAGTATGAGATTATATTAGTATAATTATCTTCAGATGGTATTAGGTTTGTGGTTTTCATTTATATTTTTGTGGTTTTCATTTGTAGATTTCAAAATGATTAAACCATTAATATAAAATTTGAAAAATATTCTTTCCAAATCATAATCATAACCATCATCATTTCCTGCATTTTCAACCATTTCCAATTATGGTATAGCCTCATATATTTACAATCTCTTTGTAATTGGGCCCATTGTTGTCTATTCTTGCATGGTTATGCAGATCCTAGTCATCTCTCCACATTTCCTAATATCATAATCCCATTTTAGGTTTGGTTTTCTTCTAGGTCTCTTAATTTTTCGTAGATACCATGCTGTCATTTTCGTGGTCTTTCTGTACCTCCTTACCAAGTACCCTGCGCATTGCCACTTTGATTCTGTGGATGACATCTATTACTTGGGTTTTTATCGTATTCATTCTATAGTTAGGTACTATTCTTATATATATTTCTTTGTTTATTACGTTGTTATGTTTATTTTAAAGATTTTTATACTAGGGTGCCACATTTAGAGAGTTTAATCTTATACATATGGCATACTAGGGCACGAGGATCATAAGGGTGACAAAAAACTAGAAGAAATGGGTAAAGCAAGACTCATCAGCGTTACAAAAATTGATGCAAAATAGAGTGTATAGTGGCCAACAAATCATAAGGGCAGAATCAGGAAACCCATGGTCGAATACGTTTAAATAAAATATACGACGGCCTCCCCATAAGAGCAATGAGAGGATTTACGTCCCAGTATTGAAAGACAGAAAATCGAGTCTGAATGGTTTCAGGACATAAGTTCATCCTTGTTTAGTCAAACCTCCTACAACACCAGGATAGACTTATGTAGGAAATGCATTGAAATTCTATAGCCATCCTTCAATATCGGAACAGGAATTTAAGCGGTACCTAGAGCGGTACCCTCCTTATATTTTATTTAAACGTATTTGACCATGGTAGATGAAATTTTCTAGGCAGACTAGATAAGCCAAGACGGAAAAATTGTGAAAACTGTAGTGAATCTACTAACAAGGCATTGCAAGCTCAATATTACTTATTCTGTCAAACAGATGAAGAAATGACAAAACACATTTTCTGTCTGCGTAGAAAATGTGCGATTGCATTTTCGATCATAAATATTTGACAAAAGAAAATAATATGGAAAATATATTGTCTTAGGTACATACATTTGTAATCATTAGCATCATTCATGGACTGCATAATTATTCATAGCTATATTCTTTGACTGCATGTAAAAAATGAAATCGAATGTAATTTAATATTTATTATATACATGTTTTGTTAGAATACATACGTTCTGAATGCCATTCCCAATTGGGATAAGGTACTAATAACGGCGATTCTTCTTTAGGTACTCTCGGTAGTTGTGCTAGTGTCACAGGTACTCCGGGTTTCCATTTTGGCATCGAAATAAAAATCCTATTTTTGTAAACCTCTATTCCTGTAAAACAAAATCCTTATTCAATTTTATTTCTACTTCATAGCGATTTTAGGGTTCCGTACCTAACGGGTAAAAACGGGAACCCTATTACTAAGACTTCGCTATCCGTCCGTCTGTAACAAAGGTCTATCTTATGAACCGTTATAGCTAGACAGTTGAAATTTTTACAGATAATGTATCTATGTTGCCGTTATACGAACAAATACTAAAAACACTGAATTAAATAAATGTTTATAAATAAAAAGTACTTTCACTAAACATTATCTTTTAAGTAAGAATTTTACATAGAATCTTTCGAAGTTCTCGGTGGCCGCGTGGTTAAAGCGTTAGGACTTTACGCTGCTATGACATTGGAGCCGTAGTAAGGCAGGTTCGAATCCTGGTCAAGGCGACTTTTTTTAATCGTTTTTTTTTAATTTTTACATATTTATTATTGATTAATACAATTTTTAGTAATGTGTTTCTTCATTTTTTTTAATTACTTATACGCGCATTCAAAATTTCAGCTAAATCGGAAAACAAGTTTATAATTATATTATAGTGTCTAATGTTGTATACTGATAATGAATGGTATGGTTTGAACGGAACCCTTCGTGCGCGAGTCCGACTCGCACTTGACCAATTTTTTAATTTTGGGTTGAATTTTAATAAAAATAAATTTAAAGTGTTAAAAAACATTTTTTTATCTAAAGGTGTAACGGATCAGATCTCTTTTAAGCAAATTAGATTTTTGTATTATTTTAAATTATATGCATTTTATTTACTATCGTTTTAAAAATATTTAACTGTAACCCAATAAACTAGATTTCTAAATTGCGGTTATGAGATGTAAATTAAGCTAACAAAAACTGTCTAGCCGCAAGGCAAAAATATTTCTTTTCTTCTAACGTTAATCATGGTATAACATAAATTTTTGCTACTTCATCAAACTTGAAAATAGTTTTCCTCTTGTGCAGCCCAAATACCGTATGATCGAAAAAAAATGGGGTCAGCGATGACAATGAAATTAAGATGGTTGTCATTTTATATGTAAATTTATATGGAAGATGTCATCGATCGTCATTTCCCAGACAACTGGACGCCGTTTTTTCTCAATCATACGGTATATGACGTTTATAGAAGAATTTCTACACAATATATGTATGCAGGGTGTCCCAATATTTCCATACCACCACGTATTTTTCGAATCAAAATAAGTTCATTGAACATAATTTACCTCTATACAAAAGTGCTTCGTTTGTCCGCTAGAGGGCATCAAACTTTAAAAAAATAATCACGTTTTTTCAGATATAAAAGAACAGATATTCCGATTTGAATGAGATTCTGGGTATCTCTAAAAAACAGTTGTGTTGGTCGTTTAATGTCGATTAAAACAGTACTTGTCTCTAGATATTTTGTCAGTTTCGGTTTCCTTGATGATATAAACACTATTTTATTAATTTGCACTAATCCGTATAATAGCAACCTTTAAAATTTTTGATGTCATTAGCTGGCCAAAGTCATTAACTGACCAAAGTGTTAAATAGGTAGGTACTCATTGATTCCTTATCAAAAAATATAAAAAAAGTTGCTATAAATATTGCATATTATAGTACAGTATTAATATCTATACTAATATATAAAATCCTTAAGTGACTCACTGATTAATCACGATCCTGCTCAAACGACTCAACGCAAGAAGCTCAATTTTGGGCATAGAGGTTGATTCTAGGGTGTAGAGGTTCGATAAGAAGGGATTTTTCGAACCCCTCAAATATTACAATATTTTTTATTTAAAAAACGGTCAAATTTCCGAAAAAACGCTTAAACACGTATATTTTATTTTGTGTTTTTACATATGTTAAGATTTTTAAAAATGTGTACAGGGTGTTTCGAAAAATCTGGTCGTTGATGAATCACGATCCTGCATAAAGCGCTTGACGTAAAAAGCTGATTTTTGGAAAACGGATTGACTTTAGGGTGTAGAGGTTCGATAAGAAGGGATTTTTCGAAACTCGAATTCTAAGGGGGTGAAACCACCTCTCAATTAAGAGAATATTTTTTATTTAAAAACCGGTGAGTTTTTCGGAAAAACTCTTATACACCTATATTTTATTTTGTTTTTTTACATATTTTAAGATTTTTTAAAAATTTATACAGGGTGTTTTATAAAATATGACCATTGAGTAATCACGATTCTGCTTGAACTGCTTGACGTTTAAAGCTAATTTTTGGCAAACGGATTGACTGTGGGGTGTAGAGGTTCGATAAGGAGGAGTTTCTCGATTGTTTTTTCTCATGCTAACATAAATGTGAGAAAATTTTATCCAGTTTGTATGTTAATGGAAATTCTTGCTTTGCTTTATCACCACCATTACAAATGATTAATTCGACGCGAACGAAGTCGCGGGTACACGCTAGTAATAAAATATATAGTAATGCTATAGTATTAATGTTACAGGATATTATAACTTTAAAAAAATTGCTCTTTTGTAATTATCAATACCATTATTTTTTTCTTAAATTTGCTGTAGGTAGCACTGACTTATAAATTTTAATAAACTTTAATAATATAATACATTAAAAAATAATTTATTAATCTTATTTTTATTTTATTAATTGTGATTAAAAAAATTGCGTTTATCTCATGAAGAAGATCAAAATCGACAAAATATCAAGATAAAATTTTTAATCGGCATTAAACAGCTTACGCAATTTTCCTACCAAGAAAAAAAAAGTCAGTAGCCCACATGTCTTTTTTTAGAAAAATATTCCAGTAATAACCCATAGTCACGTCCCTGGTGAATCTGTCGACACTTTTTTAATACTAAAATATGTAACATTTATAGTAACTTTAACCACAGATTATACAGATTATAAACTTATCGTCAAAAGTTGTTTTTCGTGGTTCCAATTTTCGGAGTCGCGCACTAGTTAGGTTACTAGTTTGCGCACATAGCACGCCCACTTATGGCCTCTAAAATTGTGCACAGCGCCTGACCGGCCCAGTTATTAAGCTGTTTAAACGCGAGTTTATTTTTGCGCACAGGAAACTTTACTCGTTCGCTCATCGTCATAAAAAACAATTTTGGTACCACGAATTAGGGACAAGATTTTTATCTTTCATTCGAATCGTTAAAAACCCTTGAAAGAAAACTAGAATCAATCGAAAAAAAATGATGACTTTAGCCTCCCATAGCTACAAAACAAACCTGAATCGGACCTATGTTGATATAGGAAATAAATCTTATTTTACGTGGGGAATCTCCCCACGAGAGATGGAACATGTTTTTTCAAACACAATGTATATGAACAAACATATGAAAATAAGTGTAGTTACCTAATGGCAAATTGTTTTCTGGAATATACTGCTTGTTGGAGATAGCTCTGGATCTGGCGTACGCTGAAGGATACGCAAAATCCAAAACTTTCCATCTGTACCATGTCTTAAAATGCCCAGTGACCTCCAACGGTTTCAGTTTATGTTCTTCCTCATAAGGAATATAATTGCTCGAATTTCTAATAATTGGTTTTTCTGTCTCTACCGATACATCATTAGTCCAAGAATTTGAATTTTCATTGAAGTTTTCAGTTTCTATTGGTATCTTCGGCCACACATCTTCATCGAATGGATTGTTGAATCCTAAAATCGTACTTGATACGTGGGATTGGGCTTTTTGTTGATTATCGGGCCTGCTTTTTCTCTTTTTGAAGGGAACATGTGGAGGGAATGAAACAGATTGGCCAAAGTTCTTATGATTTGTTTGTGGTTTTCTTTCTGGTGGATGCAGCACATTGAGGGACATGAATAGCGGCAAAAAATGGTGGATGGGTGGAGGCTTAACTGTAAATATTAAATAATAAAGAATTACAACACAGCTATACAGGGTGCTACAAATTCGGGGTCCGAGCATTGGTATCTCGGTACCCGTAATAGATACGAACATGGTTAAATTGGGGCAAACTTGCCTTTTGGGATGTTCTCCAAGATGCCATCAATTTTTTTTAAATTTCAAGGATTGCTGAGTTTTTTTTAGAAAACGAATTTTTTGGAAAATCAATTTTATTTTTTCCTGTCGTTACTTTTTAGAAAATCAAAAAACTAATTGCGAATTCTCATAGCCACTTTATTAGAGCTATCTGATGGTATTTTTAGATTTTTAAAGTAGCTGATAATTTGTGAGATACAGTGGTCAACTTATTTTTTTTAAATACTGACCTGCCTTTTTTATTTCAGGTTTTGAAAGAACTCAGTTTCCTGAGTATAATGATATGCCGCACTTGATATTTTGTTTTTTTGTTTTGGACATTTGAACACAATTTATTTAAACTAATTTCAAGTCCGGCTCTGTTTTTTTTTAAATATTTAATCTATTCATCGTTACAATATTGATAAGCTTTCAGATTTAACAATGACGGGGTGTAAAACATTGAATACGGAAAAACAAATAAAATGAAACATAATATAAATATAAACAATCAAATCATTTCCCCGGAAGATGGATTGGAAATGGTAGAGCAGTAAAATGGCCAGCGAGCTTTCTGGGTCTGTCGCCAAAGATTGGGGGGAGTATTACTTGACGTCATTTGTAGAAGTGAAATTAATACATTTCAACATTTACAATAAAGAGTACAAAATGCATTCGGAAGTATAAGAAGATCTGTTCAAAGAGCTATGAATAAAATTGAACGAAAAATAAATTTGTGCATTATGGAGGGTGGTAACCCTTTTGAACATGTAGAGCATTAGAAACTAGTTTGTACTTGATATATTTATAATAACTACGATTAATATTATGCATATTATTAGATCTTACCCTGAAATTTCAAATTCACAATAAAAAAGTTAAAAATAATATCTTTAAATTGCTGACCTGGATCTGGAATCTTTCAATTGACTTGATTTTCCTTATTCAATGTTAATTAGCGCTGATCAATATTGTTGCGATGAATACAATCAGATTAAATGAATTAAAAAAACAGAGTCGGACTTGAAATTATTTTAAATAATAATTAAATAGTTTTGTTGGCCTCTGTATTTCACAAATTATCGGTTCATTTGAAAACTCAAAAATACTATCAGGTAGCCCTAATAAAGTGGATATGAGAAAGTGCAATTAGTTTTTTGATTTTCTAAAAAATAACGACAGGAAAAATTAAAATTGTTCTTCAAAAAAATCAGTTTTTGCCAAAAAACTCAGCAATCCTTAAAATATTTAAAACTTTTTGGATGGCATCTTGGTGAAAATCCCAAGGAGCATCTTTGCCCCAATTTAACCCCTCTTCGTATCTATTACGGTTTCCGAGATACCAATGCTTGTACCTCGAATTTGTAGCACCCTGTATATCAACTACAGAATCAAAAATACTATTTGTTTGACAATGATAGTTATACGAATAGAAAATTTAAGAAAATATAAAGAAATGTGACCAAAATGTTTACCTCCATGGTACTGGGTTGATAAGTTTTTAATGGGTTCTTGATAGGGCTGCTCTAAAAATGGCGGGGGCCAGTTTGAAAACCAATTATCCAGGGCCATATTTCTCCAACATGGTTCCTATTTTGATATCAAATTTCAGCTTCCCTGAAAGGAAAAAATATTGATTACTATAGAATGTTGTTTTGTGCACCAAAAAATAAATTAAAAGAAAACAATTTACTATTACTATTGAGTCATTTAAAAATGGTTTATGGTGGAATCAATTTAGCACGTCCAATTTTCCTATTTGTTTTTAAACAATAATTTAAATTGTGGCTATCTTAGATTATTAATTGATGTGATGAGATCCTCAGTAGTTATAATCTTAAATTATACACTATTATTCGAAAACAATCAATTTTTAAATTCAATATAAATATAATATCCAAAAGAAAAATAAAATATAATAAATATATGTAAGGCGTTATTTTATTTTCCTTACCGTTAGTCATAGAGCTAAAGAAGAAAAATATTTATAAATAAATCGGTAAAAATAAGTAAATTCTAGTCAATCGAAAATACTAATTTTTCTTTTATAAATATAATAATAGCTCCCGTCTATAGGTCAGTTCCCAGAAGAATCTCTGACTAGTCAGCGCGTTTCTTATTGGTTGAAATGGGTAGACACCTGACTAACAATCAGGTTTCTACGCATTTTAACCAATGAGAAACGTGCTGACTAGTCAGGGATTCTTCTGGGAACAGACCTTATAGCGTTTGACGCTTTGGGAGTAGCAAGGTACAACTTGCCATACTAGAGCCGTTCGGTATATAAGGCAGGTAATGTGGCTAGCACTACGCTTCAACCGCCTATTATTACTTTAGGATTGTGAATCCCAAGTAGTCATTTAAGGCTGAGTCGACCTAAAGTACGTCTGCTGGGTCTGTGTCTATGAAAGGAATGCGGACAAAAAACATTTAAATAAACAGCAATATATTTTATACCTCGACTTGACGAGTACGTCACCGCAAATCGCTCCGCCCACTCATTTTATTGGTTATTTACAAATTTGTCGAATTTTTATTGATGGGACGCGTCGTCTAATTTTTTACGAAAAACATCGAGAGAATATCGTTTCCCCTTTCACGGATACCCCGTAGCTACAGAACGGACAAACGTTCCGGTAGTACCCAAACTATTTTAATAAAAATAGTCGGCGGATGAAATGCCGGGTGTGGGATTCGAACCCACTACCTTCAGATTGGTAGACGACAGCTTGTACATCTACCCCACCGGGCACCATTATTTACCACCATTTTTCTTTTATCTTTTCTTAATATGATGAAAATATGCACCCTATTTATTTTTTATTTAACCAATTACGCGCTTTTTGATAGATGAAAAAATCCATTCTGCCATTGTTATTTCTTTCTACTACAAAATGTAGGTCAAGCTAAGAAGTGGCAGATCTTTTTTAAATAGCGGTGAGAGAGGGCAAATTCGCACCAAATATGATTTTTTGGATCAAAATCATAATTTTATGAACTATAAAGCCGCGTATATGTACAGGGTGTCCCATTTTGGTTGAAATCATACGGTATCTCGGTTATTAGTAAAGATAAAAGGATGCGGTTTGCACAAACCTGTCCCACTTTTTTGTCAAACGAAAGATGCTGTAAACAACATTTTCATAGCCGTCTTCGTTTCCGAGCTACAGGGTCTTTTCGAAAATTTTGCAATTTGGGACAGCCCCAGTATATCCGTTATTATGGATGATATCGAGAAAGTGAAAATTGATTCCTATTGAACTTTTTACGTAGAATACAGTGGCGTAGTCTATTTTTTTACGGAAAAAATATTTTTGAAAATATGAACTAAAGTTATGTCTTTTCAAATGGAACACCCTGTATATTTATAAATTATATGATCCGTCTTTCTATGAGCTTCTCTAAAATATATATCACTCTATATTTATTTTCACTATTTACTTCAATATTTAAAATATATCATTTTTTTATTAGCAGGCCGTGATAAATAACATAAAAATCAAAATGGTATTTACTAAAATAGTCATACACACATTAAAATATTATTTGGCATTGATATATTTTACTTTTGAACTGTTACCACTGAATCTCTGAATATATCTTTCTTTCTTTATAACGGGATGGGTTTGCATATATCTAAAAGCTTGCATTATTAAAACATTTTCCAGGTGTTCGACATTGTTGTAGTTGCCACGAAATATTTCATATTTTAAAAATCTCCAAAATCAGAAATCGAGAACGGACAAATCCAGGAATCAGGGAAGCCATCATATGGGTCCATTGCATTGGTTCCAATTCATTGATTTGAGAAATAATAATTTAACAAAATTCTAATATTTTCAAAGTTGTTAGGGAAAGCCCCATCTTGCTGGAAGTATATTTCACGTAAACTAGCTAAAACATATCTAAAAGTTTCGGTACGATAACTTCCAAGATTTACAAATAGCGGTAGAGAGTTAAGTTTTCCTAATATTTATAGAAAAAATTTATTAGTGGCCCCTAAAATAAAACAAGAGATAGACAGCGGTATGTTGTTAATAATTCTTTATTTTCATTTATTATCAATCATGGCCAAAGTCATGGCCTACTAATAAATATGATTTTTTAATAAAAACTTCTAAATATTGCAGTAAATAGTGAAAATAAATATAGAATGATATATATTTTTGAGAAGCTTATGGCAAGCCAAATCATATAATTTATAAATATACAGGGTGTTCCATTTAAGAAAACATAACTTTAGTTCATATCTTCGAAAATATTTGTGCAAACCGCATCTTTCTATCTTCACTAATGGCGGAGATACCGTATGATTTCAACCAAAATGGGACACCCTGTACAAGTTTTGACGAAACTGGGAAACTGCAACAAAATTTCCAAAGACCATTCGTTGTATATACAAGTATATCAAAGTGTTACCGCAAGAAGAAAGAGTAGATAATACAGAAGACATATTGTTACCATACCTTGATTTACAGAATTAAATCCCCCAAATGTCAATGGTTACATGGTAAAAAGAATGATGAAAGATGGGTCATGAAAACTATACCGGGTGCATCTCAAAAGTGGCTTACCCCTATAACTTTTGACACCCCTATAACTTTTAACACCCCTTAAATTTTTTTTTCACGTAAAAAAACGAGATTTGGTATGTTAGTATATGATATAAATTAGGATTGATTGACGTATTCACTTGTTTAGGTCACTTCCTGTTTCACCGGAAATGACTACCACTTTTGATTTTTAAATGACACCCTCGGTATTAATCCTTTCATATGTCAACTTCTGGTATTTTCGCATAAGGTTTATTTGAAATTGTAACATGCGGTTCATTACGACAATTTGATTTGAAATACCAAATGTGTTATACCAAATTCAAATTATTCGTAAAAAAATGATTGTTCCAAATATGCCAAGAGTCACCATTGTTCCATTTGAAAAAATTGAGATATGATTAAAAATACGATTCGCGCATCTTTTATCTTTCCAGGACAAGACACTAATAACATTAGACGATCAAATCTATTTTCCCAATGCTCCTTGATTAAAAATTAGAGTTTTTAACACAGCCATGGCACTCTAGATTGAATTTTAAATTACATTTTTGACGAAAACCATTAGATGATTAAATCTATTTTTCAAAGGCTGTTTGATTAAAAATTAGAGTTTTTAAAAGTCATAGCACTCTAGATTGAAATTTAAAATACGATTTTGTTTTAAGCAAAAATGTCAAAAATCGACATATGATATGTCATTATATTCAGAATGTCATTTTCTATCGAATAAAGTAAAAATATACCTAGAGTGCCATTTAAAAATCAAAAGTTGTAGTCATTTCCGGCGAAACAGGAAGTGACCGAAAACAATTGAATACGTCAATCAATCCTAATTTATGTCCTATACTAAAATACCAAATTTCGTTTTTTATCTAAAAAAAATGAAAAAGTTATAGGGGTGAGCCACTTTTGAGACGCACCCGGTATACAATTAGAGTGTTCGAGAGGGGTATAAGGTCTAATCAGATGCTAAAATTCAAAATAGGACAACAATATTAGAAAGTAATGAAATCAAGATTGATAGAGATGGCTTATATGGCAGTTCTTACAGCCTAATTTAAACTTACATAAATAAAAAAGAGATAAATAAATAAACCACAAATAGCAGAAAAATTTGAAGAAACAGCTCAACACCTGAATGTGTAACACAATTTAGTTAAAGGCAACTTAGTTATATGAAAGGATTTGACAGAATAATAAAGTTAATGGAATATTTATATTAGAGATCAAAGTCATTTGTCAGATTATAGATTAAATTCATAGACGATGCGAAATTAGGATACTACATAATAGGTAATCTGAATAACTGTGGTTACTATACATTGTACATACTATACATGATGACAATTTGGTAGGGAGAAATGGCAATGAAACAGAATCTGTTCTAACATATAAAATCCTTAAGTGACTGACTCACTGATTAATCACGATTCTGCTCAAACTACTCAACATAAGAAGCTCAATTTTGACATACAGATTGATTCTAGGGTGTAGAGGTTCGATAAGAAGGGATTTTTCGAAATTCCAGTTCTCAAATATTACAATATCTTTTATTTAAAAAATGGTCAAGTTTCCGAAAAAACGCTTAAACACGTATATTTTATTTTGTTTTTTACATATTTTAAGATTTTTTAAAAATCTATACAGAGTGTTTTGAAAAATCTGGTCATTGATTAATCACGATCCTGCTTAAAGCGCTTGACGTAAAAAGCTGATTTTTGGAAAACGGATTGACTTTAGGGTGTAGAGGTTCGATAAGAAGGGATTTTTCGAAACTCGAATTCTAAGGGGGTTGGTTTGGTTTGGTTTGGTTTGGGGTGGTTTCCCCTCAAATATTAGAATATTTTTTATTTAAAAACCAGTGAATTTTTCAGAAAAACTCTTAATCACGTAATCACGAATCTGCCTAAACTGCTTGACGTTTGAAACTGATTTTTGGCAAACGGATTGACTGTGGGGTGTAGAGGTTCGATAAGGAGGGGTTTCTCGAATCTCAAATTCCAAGAGCGTGAAAACGCTCCTCAAATATTACAATATTTGTTGTTTAAAAAACGGTTAGTT